GCTGGATGGTGTCGTCTAATTGCAGATCTGGTTTGAGTTAAAGGGCGATTGATGATTTAAGCAATGTCAGTTTGCTTCCACAATCAAGCATTGCATAGGCATGAACTCTGTTTGCCATGAGAAATCGTTATTGGCAGGGTCGGATTGTGGCGAATCGATTTCCTTCTGCTTATGCTGGTGCTGCAGTTGGTGGTGTCGTCATGTTGTCTGGAGTTCCGGTTGGCTGTCTCCCTCTGTGTCGTCGAGTTGTAGGTGGTGCTGTTGTTGTTGTGCAGAAGTGTGTGGTGTTTCTTACTGCATCCGTCCGTCCGACAGGTTTGCGTTGATTGACAGTCGGCGAACTTGTGGGGGCTGAGGCAGTTGAAACATAGTTGTAGGTCCCTGGCATGCTGTAATCTGTCCTTTGGGTTCATTGCGATGAAGTGTTGGCATTTTCCAAGGTACTGGCAATTGCGTTTCTCCGGGCAAAAATCTGGTCGTTGATCCTTTTGTCCAGACTTATGTTGCTGCTGGCTGCGTTGCTGGTTCCGGTTGTTCTGATTGGCGCGGTGATCCGATGGTCCATGTTGGTGGGTGTGACCGTTGGATGATGATCCTTGAGTGTTGCTGCTGTTGTAGTTTCTGGTGTTGTTGTTGTTGCTGTAGCTCGACAAATCGCTACATGCTTCGGCGTAGATGTTGAACCAATTGGTGAGGTGGATGAGTGATGGTTGTCTGATGTTGCATTGCAGATTGTATCTATTCCATTCTAGTCGGCAAGGGGTAGGCAGTTTTGACAAAACTGTTTGGACATTTGTCGTAGAGTGTAGGTCGTGCTGGAATCCAAGTGTCGTGATAGTATCGACCATTGTCTGTAGGAAGTTGGCAAGGTCCTTGTAGCTTCTGGTATGTCGTAGATTGGGGCCGCTGATGTCGTCGAGTTGTCGAAGGAAGGATGTAACTATCTTCGTCGGGTTACTAAAGTCGTTTTCCAGTCGCTGAAGGGCTGCGTCATACATTGCTCCATTGCATCCATATCCTCGGATGAGAGATTTGGCATCTCCGGATACAAGTTTCTTCAGATGTGTCATCTTTTCCGAGTTTGTCATATCGGTGCTGTTGATGGTTGCGTTGAACAGTCCTATCCAATCTAACCATTGTTCAGGTTCTCCGTCGAATATGAATGGTTTGACAATGGGCACTGATTTCCTGAATGTCTTCGAGATCGTCTGATGATGGTTGTGGTCTGTCGGTGCTGTTCCAAGGTTGGTCGGAATCGGAAAATAAGTCGGCTGGTTCTGATGTGCTGCATGTTGATGTGCTGCATGTTGATGGACTGCATGTTGATGAGGGGGAGGTCGGTTGATATTTGGGTGAGTTGTTCCTGTTGGTCCCTGCAGCCTGCATGAGTGAAGGCTGTTGTTGATGATGTCGGCATGTTCGTAGAGTTGTATGCTGTCGTGGTTCCCAGAAATCCTTCCTGGTACGATCGTATGGCAGGTTGTGTACATTGGTGAGTCAGGGTCGGCTGGCTGGAGGTCCAATTTGTTGCTGTTCGTTGATCTCCTTGGTTTGTTGGCAGTAGTGCTGGTTGTGCTGGTATCGGTACTCCGTTGATGTTTGTGATACCCTTAGCTGTCGTCTGGTGTCCACTGAACACGTTGGTGGGAGGATGATTGGTTGAATTCTGATTTCCAATCGTCAAGATGGGTCTAAAGGCGCTATTCGGATTATGTGTCCTCTGTTGCTGACTTGGAGGCTGGTATAGTCCATGTGGGGGGCTAGCTGTCTGGGGAGCAAGAATTGGGTGTGTGATTTGCTGTCCAATCATTTGACTCTGAGCTGCTTTTTAAGTTGCTGTCGGAAGAAATATTGGCGCTGAAACATTTCTTTGTTGGGTTGCTGGTGCGTTCATCTGCTGATTGAAAACTTGGATTCGAGTTCCAGGGTTGGAGTGCGGTGACGTTTCATGAAGTTGAGCTTCTGAGTTCGGTCTTTGTCCCATTGTTGCTGTCAATTGCTGATTGTCGATTTGGAGTTGAGTTCCATTGTTCAATTCTATAGTCGTTCCTTGAAGTTGAGCTTCTGGGTGGTTCGGCTGAAGGTTTGAACTTTGTGACAAGTCGGCGTTCGGCTGCTGCAATGAGAGGTTTGACTGAGGATGGAGGTGAGTTCCATGGGCAGTTTGAGTTCCAAGAGTTTCTGTTTATTGTTGATGAATGCGATGATCCAAGGTATTGGCGTCGCTGTTAGATCCGGGGCGAAGTAGGAGTCCTGAATTGTCCTGGGCGGATTTTGATCTGTGGTTTGAAGTAGCGTTTAAGATTGCTGGCAATCCTGAAAATTGTGGCAAATCGTCCGAGGTGTCCTGGTCGATGATGACGTTTTGTGTAGTGGTACTACGGATTAAACTTTCGTCGAAGGGGAAGATTTTCTAAGGCTTGTCGTATTATTGAAGGCGTCGAGACGTTGCTGGCTACTCGTGATGAGTTTAAAGAAGACGTGGCAGTGTTGTTGAGGGTACGCTCGTATCGTTTTGATCGTAGTTGGATCGTTCGGTACAAAACTTTCAAAGTTTTCAATCGTTCAATGATTGAGTCTTGCTGGTCCGTTCCGGTGCGTATTATCTTGACTGCTTCGTTATTGGCATCGTCAAGCAAGCTCTTCATTTCCGTTAAGAAATCGTTTATGATCTGTACTTCGTCGGAATCGCTTATGGCTTGGTTAATTGCTTTTCCTAAAATTTCTACGTCTGTTTCTATGACTTTAAAAACAGCATCATAGGTTGAATTCATTTTTAATTGAATATGTCTCCTAAACTTAATTCACGTTTTGACGTGTCAGACAAAATGTAAAATGGCTAATATGTAATTCCTTTGATTACATGGAACCCTCGCAATTGTATTGTAACAAAAAAAATGATTTTGAGTTTTTTTTTTCTTTGGAACTTACAATCCAAAAAAAAGAGTAAACAATATGATTGGTTAGTATAAGGATGGGTTCGTTGATTTTTCCAACAAAAAAAAACCTTGGTTTCGGTTTCTTTGTTTTAAAAACTATTGGGCGCCAATGACAATGTCAATACTTTTGGGTGATTCAGATTCCAATTTCAAATCGTAGTTTAGTTGTTGCTTTTAAATGATTTCTTTTTTGATTTTTGAGTTTTGAGTCTTTCAATTTACTAATTTGGCGGCATATTTATGTCGAAAATGTGGCAAAATTAGGTTCGGCAAAGAATAAAGTTCAAATGTCGTAGACAGGCGCCTTTCGACCAATAAAGGCGCCTTTAGAAAAATTTTAGGGTCCTTCACCAAATATTGATATCTCAAAATAGTACAAAGGGGGACCCTAAATCCGCTACTGAATGTGAGGAGGTGCCGATGACTGACGAAGGATAAAACTCATCTGCACATAATGGATTTGGATAAATTGTTGAAAGTGTCGGTAATGCAAAGTTTGCGAGCTATCACCTTGAATCGCGGAGAGCTACCACGTAATTTCTTGATACTCAGAGAAGATTGTTCGAAATGTGATAAAAGACGTCAGCGAGGGTATTTGACCCATAGCAACTTGAATGACATTAGTTATACTTGCTGAGGTGAAGACAATTTTGTCCAGCCGGGGGTTCATGCCTAAGAAGCGAGAAGTAACGACATCTCGGAAATATGGATTGGTCGAAGACCACATGTCAAAGAAAATATGGGTCTATAGGGTTTCCAGCCAAAATATCGAAAAGATTTTTTGTAATTAAGAGCCTGAGTGCTTCAAATTAAACATTGAGGCTTTCAGTCAGGGTAGCTCTGCTCATTTGCTGTAGTTTGGTTTTAAAAATTGTCCTTGAAATTAGGGTTTTTAGAGATCAAAACCTGAATTTCCGTTTAATTTTATCAACTCGTATATTTGACTAGTTCAAGTTGGTAAAAAACACGTAGAATTGTAGTATATGGAGTCGACCAGTCGTGAATAGAGATTTTTCTTTTATTTTGTCGTTGGAAAATTTCCAGGGCTTTCAGGTCGGTTGTCTGATCTCTCTATATATGTTTGAAAACTTTATTCCTAGTTTTTTTTGCGAAGTTGATTGGCCACGAACTCTGGGTGGATTTCTCCCAAATTTCAAAGTTTTCATGCCTGAATTGACTGAACATCAATTTGAATTTTCGGTACTAATTTTTAATTTTTTTTCGTAAATGGGCGTTTGTCGCACAAATAAGGCAAAAGAAATCTGACGACATATCCCTATGATTGAACGCTGGCTTCAATTGGTCTTTTTTGAGCGTGATCTTTTAGCAAGCGTTATCAAATCGGAATATAAACTTTTTTCGAGTAACAAATTAATCGACAGAATCACTTGGTATCTTGTTTTATAATGAATTCAATTTTCTACGCGTCTCTGGAACACTTGGTCTGGAGCCACTAAATATGCCTAGGACCGCTATGGTCCTGGTTTCGAATCTGATCAGGACCTATTAAGTTATAGAGAGAACTTAACTTCACCACTGGTGGCAGAACAAATTTGCGCAATTCGTTTTTGTGTAGCTCATAAACATTCTAGAAACCATTAGTAAGAGTAATGAACGTAGTTAGTACTCTTATATAGGTCTTGCTGATTTTTTTCTCAGGAAAAAGTTTTTAAAATTGTTCACGCTCATTTTTGATTTTTAGCGGTTTGACTTTTGATTTCTGTTTAAGTTCAGTGCATTTCTATTGTTCAAAGGCAAACTCGACTATCGATCAGTAAAATTGTAAAGGTCACGAAAATGTGATCGACTTCTAATTTCGAATATTGAAATTAATTATCAGATTTCCCTGCGAAATAAAAGTTTCTCAAATTGGATTAGTTTTAACAAAAAAAGTGTCCATCATAAATTGTTCTACCAATTCAAAAAGCTTTACCATCTATTTTTTCTTCAAATTTCAAAAGTTGAAGGTTTTTGAAAAAACAAGTCGTTTTTTTTTCAGATTCATAACTTTTATTGCTCTTTTCCAACTGTCAGGAAAAGAGCAATAAGTCCTTCGCGCCTAATTGTTGTGATAAACTTATTAAATAGTTTGAGATGGGTATGTGCTGGTGATCACCTGGCTGGACGTTGCACACTTCCTGACCTGCCCAAAGTGGACCACTGGTCTTCAGGTAGCGTGCCATCCACGATCTGGTCTGGACCCCGCACTGGAATTCTGGTCTCCTGGTGTGGAACCCGTAGCCCGATCTTGACTCTGGCTCTCCCCTTCTGCCTTCGTTATCTCTACGTCTGGGTGAGACCCCTCCTACGTTAGGCATGCAATTGTTTGCCTCTTTCTTCTCGACCGTGTTTCTGGTTTTAGCTTTCAACCGTGTGCAGAACGGTCACACCCCTGTTGGATCTACTCAAATGCTGCTGCTGGCTCGCGAGAAACCTGATCCACAATCACGACAAGAACTGCGGTCACGCAAGTTTAAACTCAACTCAAAGCTGTCGTTTTATAACATTTCTATGCTCCTTCTTTTATGCGCTGGTGATATTGAAAGTAATCCTGGCCCGGCTGTCGACCCTACTCAGTTGTTCAGATTTGTTAACGCCGCGGAGATCTTAGTCGGGTCGTCTGTGGCCATCTCGGACCTAACCTCCGGTATCTATGATGCTTCTATCCTCAAAGTTGACAACGATCGCTTCTTTGCTCACTTTCGTGGTTGGAATAAAAGCTATGACTCCTGGGTCAACCTTGATCAAATTTTCCGGCTCCCTGATGGTTATGTTCCGATAGGCCGGAATTCTCGCGGTCCTATTTGCCTTCTCCCGCCTCCTGTCTCCAGTCCTATCTCTGTCGCTTTAACGAGTTCTCCTTCTCGGGATGCTCCTGTTAGCTCTGGCCTCTCTCAAGGGATGTCAAGTATGACGATCTCGGCTGAGCTCGCCGAAAGCGCTGTGCCGGATCTTTCTGACGTCATGTCTTCCAGAGTTGACACTGTCCGGTTCGTTCCGATTTCTCTTCGTAACGAGTGGTCTGAGGTTGTTGGTCACGCCCTTGACAACTGCGCCACCGCTCCGGACAATCTGAAAAACTGGACTCGGTTGCTCATGCTCCCCAAATGTATCTTGAAAGCCCCTCGCCGCGGAGGCAAGTCTCACGCCGCTAATAACTGCAGAGACATTCGCCAAAGAATCAAGTCCTGGAAGGAGGGCAATATTTCGGACCTCTGGTCTAACGCTACCAAAGGACCTAAAGAGCGAACGAAGAAAAACAGCAAACCTTCTCCTGACTTTAATGTCCGCAGAGCCAAAGAGCTAGCAGGCCTCGGTCAGTTCGGCAGAGCAGCTAAAGCCCTGTGTTCCGATGGCCTCGTGTCCAAAAGTGACGAGTCGCTTAAGGACCTTCGCAGTCTTCATCCTTCCGCTGACCCTCCTGTCTTTTCTGGCCGGGATGAATCCCCTCTTGCCTACCAATTCGAATCTGAGTTCGTTCATAAGTCTCTCAAAAGTTTCCCGAGCGGCACTGCTGCCGGTCCTTCGCGCTGGTTTCCTGAGCACTTTGTTCACGCCGTTGAGTGCCCCACTCCTCAGACTGCTGCCAGAACGTTAGAGTCTCTCAACAGGGTTGTTAATATCCTCGCTGCCGGGCAAGCCCCTTCTAGTCTCTCTCCGTGGCTGTGCAGTGCGAATCTCTTTGCCACCGCTAAACCCAAGGGTGGTGTCCGGCCTATTGCGGTCGGCGAAGTGCTCCGAAGGCTCACTGCTAAATGCCTTGCTAAAGCCGCCAACGCTGAAGCTCGTGATTTTCTGTGTCCTCACCAGCTTGGAGTCGCTACCAGCGGTGGCTCGGAAGCCATCGTCCACGCTACTAAAATGACAGTCAAAAAGTGCTCGGAACATGGTCACCAAGGCGTCTTAACAGTGGATTTTGAGAACGCTTTCAACACGCTAGACCGCACCGAGATCCTCCTTCAAGTTCGCAACCGTCTTCCCGGCCTCTCCGCCTTTGTTGAGTTTACCTACGGTCACCACAGTCATCTGCTGTTCGAGGATGTCATTCTCAACAGCGAGAAAGGAGTTCAACAGGGGGATCCGCTAGGGCCTCTCATTTTTGCGGTCACCCTGCACTCTCTAGTCGAATCTCTCAAGTCGGAAGTCCCCGGTCTACCCTCAACTGCTGGTACCTTGATGATGGGATTTGTGCCGGCGACGAAGACTCCTTGCTCAAGGCTCTCGAACTCATCACTTCCAACGGCTTGCATCTCGGCCTCAAAGTCAAGCACAGTAAGTGTGAGTTGTGGGCCCCTGTGGAGTTCTCCTCCATCCCCGTCTCTATCCCGAGAGCAGCGTCTAATGGCTTCGAGCTTCTTGGCGCCCCCATTGGTGATACTGAGTTCTCAGTTAAAGTCCTGGACAAACGCATCTCGAAGGCCACCAAATGTCTTGAAAAGTTACCTCTTCTTGATGACCCCCAGCTCTCACTTGGCATCACTCGCACTTGCCTTGCTGCTCCCAAGCTGACGTACTCTCTTCGCACTCAGCCGCCCTCTCAGCCTGTCGCAGCTTCCCTGCAAGTTTTTGATGAACTCCTCCGCGATGCTCTTTCTGTCATAGTTGGCTCACCTGTTCCTGATCTTGCCTGGTCCCAGTCTTCCCTGCCTATCAAAGATGGCGGACTTGGCGTCCGGCAAGCTCGCGACCAACACATCCCTGCCTTCCTAGGGTCTTCGTGTCAGTCAGCTCATTTGGTATCGTTTCTTACCGAATGCGACATCACTGATACGCCGGAGTTCCTGCGTGCATCGAACGACTTCCGTGAACAGTCTGGAAGCGTTAACACTCCCGGTTTTACTCAAGAAGCTTTCCAAGAGAAACTCGATAAGGCCACCTACAACGCTTTCTTCTCGTCTCTTCCCGATTCCCGCTAGCAAGCTCGTCTTCAGTCGCTCTCTCTGCCTTACGCCGGCGCTTGGCTTATCGCAGTCCCCATTAAAGGTCTTGGCCTGCACCTGCTACCTGCTGAGTTCCAAGCTGCTGTCAGATACCGCCTTGGTCTTCCTGTGTTCGCGTCTGCTCGTAGGTGCCCCGCGTGTCCGTCTGGCATTCTGGACGTCCTCGGGGACCACGCTGTCGCTTGTGGGGGGAGTGGTGGCCGGATCTCCCGTCACGACAGACTACGGGACATTATTTTCAATGCTACCTCGGCTGCCTCTTTAGCCCCCATCAAGGAGCAACGGAACCTCATCCCTGGAGAACGGTCCAAACCCGGCGATATTTTTATCCCTACTTGGAGCGCTGGTCGCCCAGCTGCTTTCGACGTCACCGTGACATCCCCGCTGCAGTTATCTCTTCTCTCTCGTGCGGCGGAGACCCCCGGGGCGTCCCTGGAAGTTGCTGAGGACCGCAAATTTTCGAAACACGAGAAAAACTGTGAGGAACAAGGAATCAGTTTTTTCCCGTTAGCAGTCGAAACGCTCGGGGGTTGGTCCGCTTTAGCTATCAAAACCCTCAAGTCAGTTGCTATCCTCGCTGATGCCAGACGTTCTGGTTCACGTGACGCTCGTGTTGCCCCAGTTCGCCTTCTCCAGAGCCTCTCAGTGTGCCTCATGAGAGGAAACGCCACTATGATTGTCAGCCGGGCCATCTAGTCTTGTGCAGTTTATTACGTTTTTTGCATTCCCTTTTTTTTTGCATTCCCAATTCTGGTGCTCCTTTGTTCCTTTGCTGTTAGCGCATTCCCCCTCTCTTTTCAATCCTCAATGATTCATCCCACATTTGTTGTTTTTTTGTATTTGTAAGCAATTTTTATTTTTATTTTTATTAGGCCCTATTTCTGAATAAAATTTGACCGTCAGTTGGCTTTGTTTTTCGCTGTATGCAGTTTTCCTTGTAGTCGGTTTTTATGCTTTCATTTACTCCTGCAATTTGTAATTCTACTAGCCTTGGCTTCGGATATTTTCCTTTTTGATTTTTTTTTGCTTAAAAAAACTTCTATGGAAATGATTTCGACTTATATTTGGGGTCGTTGGGGCCGGCCGAATGTTGGGTCCTTCGAGGGAACCAAGAATTTATAGTTCAAAGTTTTTCATGTCAACAATTTTATTTTCGCTCAAAAATTGTTTTCGAATTTTCATTAAACGCCGTCAAATGGGTTTCTGGACGTTCTTTCCGCAAATAGAACATCATTCCAGACAATATTTTGGAAGGTTTTTAGTTGTGGTTTCTTCGAATTTTTTTCCGTGCTCTTCGGACTTAGTGGCTTTCTTTTCCTTTCCTGTCTGCTAGCTTGCAATGCTTTTTTTGTGGTATCGTAAAAGATGCGAAGCGCCCCTGTGTCGAAAGTAAAAATTGTCCATTTTTTGACACTTATTGACTTTTTTTTCAAAAACTACCCTCCCAAATGTGAGGTTATACTTTCAAAAGAATGGACGGCAAATGAATGCAAAAAGTTATGACTCCTGGAAAAGAAAAAAAAAATTTTGTTTGAAACTTACTTTTCTCGAAAACTAACCTCCCAAATTTGAGGTTTTGATTCTAATGGGTAGAACGGCTTGTGGGAAGCTCCGCTGCATAAGCGGTTACGCCTAAACTTTTTTACACAAGAAGTTATGACCCTCGGAAAAGTTAAATTACCATTGTCCTTCCGCATCAGTGCAAAAAGTTCAAAAATTATCAAGCAGGTATTTCGAGCTTTAGCTGGCCTCTAGTCGTCAAGTGCTTGCACAATTGTTTTGGGATTTTAATGTTTCCAGGCGAAGAAAGAAATCATATTGGCTAATACCAAGGAGTTTCGGCAGCTTCTAATACACGACACTGTCTGCTTGCTCGAAACCTAACAGATTCTGTCACTGCTTTCAAGTTAACTAGTTTCTCGATTTCGTGCCGTTTTCTGATTATGTTTTCATTCGTTAGGTTTTACAAAGGTTCCTGTGTATTCTGAAAAAAATGCAACCTAGTTTAGCAACGTCTTGATGAAATGGCGTTGTCGACTATCTAATAATAAAGAAAATTAACTCACTTGGAAGTAACTGCGATTTAGCTCTGCGTTTAAATTTGAGCTCTGCTTTTAAATTTTAGATTAGCATGGCTAAAGGATGCGCTGTTATTACAATTGAATGCGCTCTTGGAGTCAGGTGAGGTACTCTTAATGCTTTCAAACTACTGAAATTTATACTAATTGTTACTTAAATTTTGTTTCACAGAAAACTTGAGTTGCATCGCCCTATAACTTTCCACAATGTCGTAGAACAAGTCAGCGTAATGTATGGACAGAACGATTTCACCGTGCATTTTCGAAATTCAAATGTAAGTTCAAGTAGATCAATTAACGACTCAATTAAAGTTGTGAAACTATTATTTGATTCAATGAAGTCTTGATGATTCAAATAAATACAATTATAAAAGTATTCATATCTTCGGTGAAGGCCAAAATTATGCAAAATTCAATTTGCGAAACAAAGAATATACGTCTTACAATATTTTCTCGGGCTTTGTTATCAAAGTGAACTAAATTGATCCGAATTTTATCGCCAATTGTAATGCAGTTGTCTACAGCGTCAACAGTTGAATTTAAAAGGTCAATTCACTGTTAATTGTAGTGGAAACCAAATTTCTAAGACGCATCGGGGTAGAAGTTTTTTGGAGAATTTGGCGGGGTAGGGGAAGAGGTAATATTCCTTAGTATCAATATTTTTCGCGTTCGGGGACTGAATGACTGCATTGCTGTTTTTTGGTTCTATAGTTGCTCTTGCGAGAGCAAGTGTCTTCTAATCGGGAACTAGACTTTTTTTCCCGTAAATAACTTTTCTTGCAAATTTTAAGAAATTGGGAAGTTGCTTTATTAGTGAACCTTAGCTAATTCTAGACTACTTCTCAATTGGCCTAGGGGTAACGCGGTTGCCTTTGCAACCAAAGGTTTGGGGTTCGAGTCCCGGTATTAAACTGAATTTTTTTTTTCGGGAAACATTGATGTTGGATTTTTGTTTGTCGGCTTATGTTTTTTCGGCAAGTTGCCCTATTGGGATTCTTCTTGTCCTGTCAGCATTATTCATCGTATATTCACGTATTTTTGGTTTTACTCCTGTAATTTAAAAAATCGATAGCCCTGACGTTTTTTGTGTTTTTCTTGGTTTTCCTTTTTGTTTTTTTTCCGCTTAAAAGCATTATTTGGACCTAAAGCTTAATTTCGGATAACGTTTTATCGGCTTAGGTACCTTATTCTGTGTCGCTTCAAGAGCAAAAAAGAATTGATGTTTTTGGTTAAAACATTAATACATAATGGAGAGGATCAACTTAACAAAGCTTCGAATGATCAAACCCGAGTTCAGTGTCGATATTGGTGAAAAAAAAAACTTTTTTTTTTGTAATTGGCCTCATTTATCTTATAAAATCTTTATAAAATTTTGTTGTCGCACCTGCGCTTTAAAGCATAGTTTCATATGAAATATTGTCGTTGAGCGCTGTTTGGGGGATATAAAGTGACATTTTTTGGGTGTGTTTCAGTTTTATTTGAGTTGTCTTCCCCGCAAAATCAGGTGCCATAAGTAATCATGGGAATGGGACGAGCGATATATCATATTATAATATTAAAGCTGTTTTAGCCGTGATTTGAACGACATTAAAACCTTTTCAAAAAATTTCGAGATGTCGAGAAAAACCGGAGTTTCAATCTAATTTCGAGCGAGTAAAGCGATTGAGTAACGTTCGATATCTGAAAATTTTCAGTTATGAAGTTTTTTCTTTTTTTATTTTACGCAAAATCAGGCGCTACAAATAGTTCTCAAACTAGATTAATTGATATCGCATTTTTGAGTCTTGAAAACATTTTCAAATATTTTGCTCTAATTTTTAGCAAGTAAACCGAGCAAGCAGGCTTGTTAGGCGGTAAGCTTTTTTAAGGCGTGAAAACTTGTATCACTCCAGTAAAAAAGGGCTTTGCTCCAAGATTTTTACTGTGTTTTTGGCACTGCAACTGGTTAATCTTGTTGCTAGCTTTTGTTTTTGTGAGCTGAGCCTCAATATGGTTGTTTTTCTAACGCTAAAAAATGTCGGATTTTATGTGAACGCACATGCCTTTTTACAGCCAATAATGGCCTGTTTTTCCCCATATTTTTTTCCAAAAAGCAATTTGAAACTCATTAATGAGCTAATTTGACAGTTTTTGTTTTAATCTTCGACCTGTTATCTTAGTTATGACAATTTTTCTACAAGGGAAAGGACCAACATGCGAGCTGTTTAGCTTAAGAATTAAATGCAAATTTTCGGGGCTGAGAAATGTTGCCTCACCCTCTAGCATGGATCATGGTGGGCCTCGAACATCCGACCTTTCGATCGAGGGGCGCAGACGTAACGATTTCACCACCGCTCTTATTATAGCATCGGGGCTTTTGCGGACGCCAATAAAGGAAACTTCTGCCAAAGTTTTTTTGATAAGTTGGTTTTTCTGGACTTATAGCTCTCTGGCATATTTACTCATAGCTATCCGGAAAGATTTCTTAGCTCTTTTAACTGTGTCGAAACACATTGCCAATTATTGTCATCCTAACTTTATGGCTCCGTGCGTGAACAAATGGAAGATCAAAACTGCTGATGAAGCTTCTGCAGTGGTAACTAAAAGGTCGTAACGGTATCAGCAATACATTTGTATCACTTGAAAGAAAGAAAGAAATTAAGCTCTTCCTTTGAACATGTTCATTCGTTATCTAGACTTAATATTCAGAGCTGATAAATACATAGAAATAAGACTATGAGATGACAGTCAATGGGGCTATCGATGACTTTCCAGTCTGTCCTAGAGTATAAATAGATCAAACATTTTTCAAGTTCATATTTAGGGAAAGCGCCAAATACCTCAAAGGGAATTGTACAATATTCATCATCAGAAACATTTGATACTTTAATTCAATTGAGCAAATAATGTTGCGGCGCTCACAACTGCGAAGGAGTCAACCTGAATTGCAAAGGTTCTCAGAACATCTTGTTTACAAATCTATGAAATGGAAAAGTTTTATTGTATTTAAAAGCAAAAATTTTATATTTTCATATCTTAAATATATACTGCGAGCTTGCCAGCGTAGTGTATTAGTATGAACCTACTTTTTTCCAACGTACCTTGCAAATAAAATTGCTCAATTTGATGGCCTTTTTGCCTTAATCACGAACTATAGCTTTGGAATTTTTTTAGCATCTATTCTCTGCTTTTTTGTGACTAGTGTGTGTCGATCGTTAAGCGTCCATGACGGTGTGGGGTGTGCTTGAGGATCTTAATGTTGAGGTTCGAATCCGTCCCGCAGCAAAAGTTTTACTAATTTCAGGCTTATTTCTAATTCTCCTATTTCACTTTATAGAGCTGATTTGTGGTAATTTTTTTGCTAGTGTTGCAAATACGTTATCTAGAAAAATTCAGATCCATTTCATTCGATTTCAGAGATTTGCAGCTCTGATTTTAATTGAATGCCTTTCTACTTGTAATTGTAATATTTTAGAAGATTGCGCATCGTATTTCGCATTGAACTTTAAAAAAAAACATTTGAGTTATTGATAGAAACTTCAGAATTTAACTTCCTCACTTGTGGCAGAACAAACTTGTGCAATTCGTATTTGTTTAACTCATAAACAGAACTTCATTTTGCGAAATGGTAATAGCTTCAAGAATTGAGTGAATGTTTGTGCATCCAAATATCAAAACTGCATATTGTATGATCGACGTGACATTCCGAGTATGGTCTTTTCAGAGCTGTTGCTGAAGCACATAATACCTTTTCAAAACTTAAATATACCTATAGATTGTACTTATTTAGATATTGCTGCCTGTTTTGAACGACACCGATCTTGAGTATGCACTTCACATATATGATCTTGGAGGAAGTGACGAAACGACTCCTCTTATATTTGTTGTCAGTTTTGACTCGACAAATGACCCTGAGAAAGTTATTGACGCCGCAGACTTCAACTTGGGTTATAAAACTGACCCAATCGTTTCGAATAACACGGGGGATGGGCGGCGTGGAATAACACGCGCAAGATCTTTCCCGCGCTCAGGAATGACACATGTGCACAATGCCAGGCGAAGTGTTGTAAATCGAGTGAGCAGTCGAAATGAATCCAGTTGCGAAAATGAGCTGAATAGCGAAGCACGATTTATTCCCGAAGACAATTTTGACGGGGTTAGTTAAATAGTTTTTTTTTGCTCGGACCTGTCCAGGAACATAGGAGCAGGTTTGTTTTCTCGCAAAATTAGGAACTACAAGAAAACCTCTGAAGACGTAGACTGATATATCATAATGACACTTTTTTAGCCGTAATTGCTGTGAAAAATTTTTTTTAAAAAAACAAAAATTTTTAATATCTTCGTTCAACTAACTTTGGCATCATCCACACTAACTTTCTCCAAAAAGAAACGAAAAAGTTTTTGCATGTTTGTACCGGAAAAATCAATTAGTTTTTAATGATATTTTTTGCAAAAATGAACATGGTTGGAACACTCAGTGCTGTTTGTGCAGCAAACGTCTACTGATGTTAAAAAATAAATTAAACTATTTATTTTGGCTTGCTTTAGCAGAGTGGAGGATACACGGCCTCTGTTAGCGGAGAAAGCAGAAATTCCCTACATAGTACATCCAGCAGCTCGCAAAAGTAAGAAATTTTGTAGATTGTTTTCAGAAAGAAGGGTTCGGTTCTGTGCGCGAAACAGGTAGCTTAAGCACGTAGAATTATATTTCCAACTTGTGCGAAAATATTCATGGTTTTTGCTTCTATATAATAAAAGTACTTTTTAGCATGTTACTTTTTGCTGTAGAGGAATGAAATTTGATTTTCAATTTCGTTTTCTGATTGCGGTTGCAAATCATTGTGTGCTAGACATTTCCCTTCAACAGCTTTACATGTACGTTAAGATGGAAGTATTTGATAGCGTATTTCCTTATCAAGCAAGCAAAGACGAAACGTCCATGCTCGAGAGTACCATAATCTGATGTTTTCAACCCGTACAAGGCTTTAATATTTTGCAAACTATGGATTTTTGAATTATCGTCGTGCCTGAAGAAGACGACGAATTAGATTTATTTCTCAAGAGTTATAAATACAAAAACAGTTAAGATATACACAATTCATAACTCTGAGAGGACAGCCTACGAACCCATTTGGGTTTCAGATGGCTGCCCTATAGGACAAACATTTTCATAAGACAAGATAATCTTAAAAATTAAAGTGAAAAAGTTACAATCATTAGAATAGAAACCGAAACCTCAATTTCTATTCATCAGAATTATAATTTGAAGACAAGTGAATATCCCTGACAACACAGGATAGGCACATCAAACCTTGATAAAGATTGGGGTCTCTTAGAATATTCCTATGATTGATTGTATTATTATGAGTAATGAACGTAATGAAGACTCATATATAGGTCTTGCTGATTTTTTTTTGTTTTTTTTAGGAAAAAGTCTTAAAATATTGATGCACTTGGGTATAATGCATTTTTTGAGTTCAATTGAAATTCATCTGCTGAAAGTGATCTAAAAAGCACTCTCCAATTACGAACGTGGAATTGGCGCGAAAAAACGTGAACGATTTATGGTTTCGAAAGTGGAATTTAATTTTTAGGATTTCCCAGCGGAATTAAAACTTTACCTATTGATTCATTTTTCTCAAGTGGGTTCATAAAAGCGCCAATCATGAATTTTCCTAAAAGTTCAAAGAGCTTAAATTGATGGCATCCATTTTTTGAAATTCGAAAGTAGAGATTTTTCAACAAAGTTAGTGTATTTTTTATGTTTACTTGCGCTCATTGCTCTTTTCCAATCTTCGATTGCCTATGTTAATTTGATTCAATGTGGCTCAAAAAATCAAAAGAAAAACCAACGCAAAAACTTGTTTGTCGTAGGCTCCTGTAACCAGTTAATTTAAATTTCTTGAATTTGTTCACTTAGCGGTTACTGCTTCTACGTTAATTGTACTAACGCAGAGACTTGAAACGCCGTTCGTTCTTAAGTAACAACCAGACGCGTTTTTTATAAACTTCTAATGGTACAGATAATTTAGTTGCAACTTTTTAGAAGTTTTTGTTCTTTCCTTTTCTTTTTTTTGTGGTATAAAAGCAATAAGAGAAATGTTCTTTGTAATGTTACCCATGGTATAGTTCCTACGATTTTACGGAATGTTTTTTTTTCATTACTGTTTTTGTTCGACATTTTTGCGACATAATTTTATGAGTGAAACATTTTCATGAGTTTTTATATTTAAGTGTTAATGAACAAAGTGAAGGCACTTATTTAAGTTTTTTTCAGAAAAAAGTCCTAAAGTTTGAGCTAGATAAAGTTTGATTTTTTGTGGTTTGTTTTTCTAATGGTTTCGAAAATGAGTTTAATTTTTTGATTTACTTTTGAAGTATTTTTTTTCAATACTAATATTTTGATCATGTGAGATATTTAATTGCCCGTTCTTTTCGAAATTTGTCTTGTATGTTGGTTGTCAATTTAAGAACTCAGATTTCACTATGTGATTTTTTAATCTTTTTCTTTATTGTGGTTAAATGGATTCGGCATTTATGATATCGGCTTAGCGGCCTTAATTTCAATAATTTGATAAGCACAAGAATGTTGTAATAAAAACTTTTTTCAACTGTCTTTTGAGTGTGTTTAAGGTTCATGAACGTAGTTTAAGCTCTTATATAAGTCTTGGTTGTTTTTTTTCACGACAAAGTCTTAAAATTTGTTCAGGCGGTTTGACTTTTTAAAGTTCAGTTCATTTCCTTTCAGCAAAGAGCTAAATTGTAAACGTCACTAAAAACGTGATTGACTAATAGTTTCAAATTTTAATTTGCTGCTTTCCCTGCTGAATAGAAATTTTTCCTATTGATCCAGTTTTCTTATATTGAGTTGATTTTATCAAAAAAATTCAACCAAAAATTACTCTTAAAATTCAAAGCGCCTTAAAGTCATATTTTCTTCGAAATTCGAAAGTTTTTCAATAAATAGTAATTTTTTTTCTGTTTCCTTGCGTTCATGACTCCTTTCCAACTGACTGTTGGCTGTGTTTTAGTTTATCACAGTTTATTGATTCGCCTCCTGAACCGTCAATGACTGCATCTCCAAGAATGGTGGGAGTCCCGCTTGACAGCAATCGATCATACAGATTGTCCAACAGCTGTTCAGGTAGTTTTAAGTTGGGCAATCACGAAGGTATGTTCTTACCGGATCATGGGGTAGATTCTGGCATTGGACATGGTCCCGCTTTCTTTGATCGCAATCTCGGAGGCAATCACACCTCCGAAGATGACGAAATTTTGGCCGAAGAGGTACTAGATGGAATCGAAACTACATCAGTTGATTTCAACAGAGTTGCCGACTCAGTTGGTCTGTGCATTGATACGACTCTCTGTGAAAGTGGAACGCCATCAAATCGAAGACAATCCAGTTGTTTGTCTTACTCGCGTGCATCAAAGAACAGTGGCAATGCCTCCCAACACAGCAATTCAGGTAAATAGTTTTTTTTGGATAATTAATCTTCGTTTTTTGCGCAAAATTTACGCCATATTAGTAATTTGACTGCTGCTTCAAATATCTGACCCCAAATACCAAATAGAAATAGATTAAGTTAACACTTCCCCTAAATTTTAACTCGGATTCACTTAGCATACCGCCGCGTGTAAATTATTCGATTGTGGTTAGCTCTAACTTTCAACTTAGAAATAATTTAGCATCCGCACTGTTGAACGGATTGGGAAGTGATGGCGGATCTCAAATGCTTCATTTTTCAATTTTTGCAGTTTATGTAAACAAAAAGCAGCTTTCTTTGTTGCGTTCGAAAGTTGTAGTTTGGTTTAAAATTATGAACATTTTTCGTTCCAATGTTGTTACGTTTAAGTAAAGGTCTTGCGTGTTGATTATCGAGATTTTTCTCAAATTTTACAATAGTCCTTGTCTCATCTGTAAAGTCATTGCTCTTTTTTAGATACCACTGCAGCAAATCAAAGTGCCAATATCCGCTCAATCAACAATCAAAGTCATCCTCCAAGACAAGTAAGTTTTTATAAATGCTTTCTTCATATTTGAACAACCGAATTATTTACAGTTATCGATTGTTTTAGAAAACAGCGGAAAACTGCACCAGCTTCACAGTTGATTTTATGCAAGAGAGTTTTGGGAATGACGGTTAGTTGCCGATTATTCATTTTCATATTGCATAAATTTGATCCTTTTTTTCGTAACGTTATTATATGTCTGAACTATGTCTGAAAGATTGAGACATATAGTAAATAAGGAGTTTTCATCGTTACACTAGAGAGCTTGATAGCGTTAGTGTATTAGTACGAACCATCTTTTTCTATACCTAACAAATTGGTCATCAAGAGTGTTCATTTATTTGGTGACAGCTTTGCTATTATCAGATCTGTAGCATTGGAAATTTCATAGCATATGTTCTCTGCTTTATTTGTGGCTAGTGTTTAAGTGTAGTTAACGTAGTGAAGACTCTTATATAGGTCTTGGTGATTTCTTTTGTTTGTTTTTTTTAGGAAAAAATCTTAAAATGCTCTAGTAATTACAGATGTGCATTCATACATATAAATGCATTTATGAATGCAGTTAGTTATATATATATATATATATATATATATATATATATATATATATATATATATATATGCACTTTTGATCAATATATGATCATTTGCTAAAAATTACGTAAATAGCACTCTCCAAATACGAACATGAAAAGTTGAGAACACGAATTTGTACTAGTTCGAGGCTCCTTTCTACTTTTACTTATTGCAATGTATAGAGCTGCTTCTTCTCTTGTTCTTGCTAGTGTTTGCGAAGAGCAGGTTCGCCTCTGTGTAAAAATTTGCGTTTGTTATTAAGATTCGATGAACGTAGTTCAGTCTCTCATATGTCGCGATTGTTTTTTTGTTTTTTTTTTCTTGAAATTTGTTCAGGCTTTAAGTTCAGTTAATTTCTTTTTTAAAAAGAAGGCAAACTCCACTATCGAATAGCGAAAGTTTAAGGGTCACAAAAACGTGATCGACATCTAGTTTCAAAAACAGAATTTAGTTTTCAGATTTCCCAGCGAAATAAAATTTTTACCTATTGATACACTTTCTCAAAAAGTGCCAATCATGAATTATTCTAGAAGTTCACAGAGCTTAAAATGCATCTATTTTTTTTCGAAATTCGAAAGTTGAATTTTTTCCAAATAAGTAGTCGGTTTTTTTCCTGTTTACTTGCGTTCATTGAAAATTTTCCACTTGCCTGTTGGCTATGTTTGAATTTGAGTGCAATAAATGATAACCAGCAGGTGGATGATCCAGGGTTTTTTCTAGACATGTCAGGTGGATAGTTTTTGTTGGCTTTCTCGGTCAAATTGACTTTCTAAAGTTCATTGAACTTGGCCGAGCAAGTGTCTTGTTATCGGGAACTAGACTTTTCCCCTAAACTATTTTTCTTACAAATCTGCCAAGAAATTTAACTTGATTTATTATTGAACCTTTGCAGCATCAAGCTCTTTTCGACTAAGTCTAGGGCTAACACGGTTGCATCTGCACCCTATGGTCTGAGGTTTAAGTCCCTGTCGGTCGAACCTTATTTTTCAGGATATATGATTGGTAACCAGCTTCTGTGTGACCATGTATATCGTTTGTAGAGTATTAGTTGTTGTGTTTCAGAAGCGTACAGTCTGGAACACTGGGTGCCTGGAAAAAGACTGGGCCACGGCGGATTTGGGGAAGTCTCTGTGTACTATAACAAACACACGGGAGTGGAGAGCGCAGTTAAGCAGATCAAACTCACTGAGGCCAACAGCAGAAAGGTCATCTTCATCTACTCTAAACGCTTTACACACACGCATTTCAGCGTTTTTTTTATACCTTTATCGGGTCCGTGTAAAGCATTTTGCCTCGAACACGGTGACCGATCGCCTTCAAATTTAAGCAGTACGCCAACATGCGAAATGCTAATTCCTGATTGGTTGGGGAAAAAATCCCGCAAACCGAATTGATTCAGTTGGGCGATTTTTCTCTTTGTCTCAGTTTCGTTTGCAAAAAAATAGAATCAAAATGGAAGCAAGCCTGCATTATAGGAAATTTTGACCCTGGCACCATATTAAATAAGTATCTTTTCAGCATTTGGAGAACTAAGAGCTCTAGAGTTCGGTAATTGTTTCTTTCAGCAGACCCAGAATTAAAACTAAATCATGAATATCCAGTAGTTGATGCCGTTTAGATGAGCCATAAGAGTGGAATTGGGAACTCTGTATTTTAATTGATGGTATTTATTTTAGGTGCTACGAACCGCTGAACAGGAGATTCGAGTGCTGAGCAGGTATTCACACGAGAGAATTGTCAAATTTTACGGATCCAAGATAGACAGTGAGAAACAGTGCATCTACATCTTCATGGAATACATTCCAGGCGTAAGAGCAACAATTCTTATCATTTGACCTCAAGAATTATTTACCTAGCATAAGGCTCAAAAATAGAAATTACTCAGTATAATTTTCATTAAAAGTCGAAAGTAATTTTATCCAAAAAATGTTTATCATAAATTGTTCGAAAATTTCAAAGAGTTTCTAAGGTCGATGAAAGTAGCTCAGATTCTTATATAGGATAGGTCGTGATTTTTTTTTCGTTTTTTATTTCATTTAAAATCTTAAACTTTAAACTTGTTCAGGCTCTAATTTTCTTTTTCGCGGTTTCACTTGTGATTTCTTTTTAAGTTCACTTCATGTCTTTTGTTGAAAGGGAGGCGAACTCCACTATCGAACAGCGAAAGTGTAAAGGTCTCGAAAATCATGATCGACTTCTAATTAAATGGAATTAAATTATCAGATATACCAGCGAAATGGAAATTTTACCATTTGATCCAGTTTTCTCGAATTGTGTTAATTTTATCAAAAAATTGTCAATCATAAACTGTTCTAGAATTTCAAAGAGGTTTTAAGGCCACCGATTTTTTTCTTAGAAATTTGAATTTTGTAGAAAACTCCGTATTTTCTTCTGTTTACTTGTATTAATTGACTCTTTTTCAAATGTCTGCTGGCTATGTTCTAAATCTACCATGACTTTTTAGAGCTACTTCCTGCCGTTTTCTCGCTTAAGTTTACTAGTGTTTAAGTTGGGCTGTTTTCCAAGTCTTTCCTGGCTAGTTTTAACCATAATGTTGTGACAAAAACTATTTAATACATCTGCTTGTAACCCACGTCGAATATGAATTTAAAACTTGTCAGCTCGTCAACTCATTAAAAAAATTTGGTTTTTGGTTTAATGTTTGGCTTTTTGTCGTTTGTAAAATTGGCAAGACTGCATAGTTTTTTAATTTTGCGAAAGCAAGTGTCTTGTTATCGGGAAAACACTAGCCTTTTTTTCCCATAAACTTCTTTTCTTAAATCTGAAGTTGAAATTGAAGTTACTTTATTTTTGAACCATTGTGAAATTATAAACTGTTTTGGGAAAAAATTGAATTATCAGAATTTTGTTTGTCTGTGTATGTTTTGTCGGCCTATTTTTTTGCCAGATTGTGGAGTTTTGTGCAGTTAGCTATTTTTGTCGTCAATGCAATTGATTTAGAAATATTTCTGCTATTTATAAAACTAATTGCCCTGACTTGTTATATTTTCTTTTTTTTTGTTTCACTTAAAAGCTACATTTGGCGTAAAGGTTTTAGGCTTATGTTATGTCGACTAAGTTACCTTGATTTGTGTCAGTTCTTGATTTGTGAAGTTCAAACTTAATTGCTCGACATTTTTTATTATTAATTTTCTATGGCATTTTTTCAGCATTTTTTCATTGTTTTTTGCTCGATGAATGCATTGTCGGCTTGGTGGCCGCTTGTTTACTATTAAATATTTATTCAAAGCTGTTTGTTGTGTTTTTTGACTATTCTGATTTTTTTGTTGTTTTGTTCCCAAATTATAATTTTTAGATTTTGCTATTTCTGTTTCATTTTCTATTCACTAGTTTGAAATGCTTTGCTTGAATTGTATCGCAATTGAGGCAGAGCGCCTTGTCGCCTCTGTATAGATTTTTTCTTTGATCTTGATATTTTATTTTACTTGGCTCTAAAGGATCCGAGTGATACTTATTTTGTTAACTGCTTTTTGATGATGCCATTTAATTCCAATACCAAACCAATTACGTCGTATTTTAAGAGTCAATAAACATAGTTAAGACTTGTGTTTGGGTTATGTGGAAACCTTAAAGTTTGTTCACGCTCAAATTTAATTTTTCGCGGTTTTTGTTAAACGAAAGGCAAACTCCACCATTGAAGAGCAAAATTGTAAATGTCATGAAGAACGTGATCGGTTTTTAATTTCCATAGTTGATTTTTAGATTTCCCAGAGGAATAAAAGCTTTCATCACCTATTGATCCAGTTTTCTCAAATTGACTTATACTTTTCCATCATATATTTTTTCGAAATTTAAAGAGCTTTAAGGTTATTTTTTTTCTATTTTGGGTTGTGATTTTTTACAAAACAAGTCAGTTTTTTCCCTGCGTTCATTGACTCTTTTTACACTTGCGAAGCAAAGTGTATTAGTACGAACTTTCTTTTTTTCCCAACCTGGTAGCACTTTTGAAACGGTAGGCTGCGGTAGGAGTATAATATCATATGTGCTTTGACATTTGTTTAGTAAAAAGTTAACACAACTGATGCATTTTTAATTCATCAAATGAACTGAAAAAAGTTTTTTGTTTCAAACAGCAAAACATTGATAAAAAGCTCGATTTCAGAAAATTTCTAACTCAATTTATCTCGCAATTTTTTTGAAATGCGTAATTTATACATAATTTGGCTTTATGCTTTCCAATTTATTATTTGCAAAATTGTGTCTTTATATTTGGTGCTACTTTTGCTGCATCGAATGGGCAATTTATTAGCATAAATCTGCGTTATTGGTGGCCAGTTTTTGGGGATTTTAAGTATCCGTGGCTGAGTGGTTAGTGCGTGAGACTCAAATTTGCTAGGTCGCAGATTCGAATCCGACACGTAGCCGAGTTTTTGCTAATTCGAAGTTTTTTTTCTAATTTTTCTTTTTTCACATTACAGAGCTGCTTTTTGGTCGTGTTATCGCAAGTGATTGCGAAGCGCAGCTTCGCCTCTGTATCCATCTATCGGCTCTTTTCCAGTTCCCCCTATTTCAAAATACCGAATATTATGTTACTTTTACGTGTTATTACGGCTAAATGCGTGATGTTACGCTGCAAAGTGTGAAGAACAAATCTGTTCAGAATTGTCGATTTGTTCACCACGCAAAATTTCATTGCTTTATGACCACGTTAAATTGACTTTTCAAAATTAAAATTCAAAGGGGGGGGACTGGAAAAGAGCCCATCTATCTGTTGGCGATTTTTTTTGTTTTCGGTTCAGTAATTTTGGTAATTTGTTTGTTGAGTTTTAAATCTCACTATCTCTTTCAGTTTCATCATCATACAACTCTTCCCTTTTTGTTATTTCCTTTCAAAAATATAAATTCGATTTGAGCTTATTTTAGTTCCAATTAAAATTCACGCGCCACAATTTTGTTTTTCTTTGTTCTTAGCTGTAAGAAATTTTCATGTACCGTTGTTGATTTCTAAATTTTATAGGGCCCATACAATGATATCGTAAAATACAATCAAGGCGGTTAATATTTAAAATTGTGATGTGATTGAATTGCTGAGGGCAATCGGCATAAACTTCATCTCATCCGCTAGAAGTCTCAATGAAATTGGGTGTTTTAGAACTCAGTGAAATCTCAAATTGACCAGTACGGCTGTGTGAGCGAGTCAGTCTGTAGCAAGTACCTCGCTCAGATCCTAGAGGGTCTGGTGTATCTGCACAGTGAAAACATAGTGCATCGGGATCTCAAGTGCGACAACATTCTGCGAGACTCGCTCGGAAACACGAAACTGGCCGACTTCGGGTGTGCGAGACTGCGAACAGACTACTTGAAGCATTCAGGCGTGAACAGTTTGATGCTGGGAACTCCTTACTGGATGAGTCCAGAGGTCATTATAAGTCAGCCTTACGACGGAAGGGCCGATATCTGGTTAGTGATGGATGACAATTGACCATTTATGATTTAAGGAAAGGATGAACATAAGTTCCGTACTGCAGCTTGCAGCGTTTACCGTTTTTGTATTTGAGTAGCTTATTGTGCTTCTTGAAATTAGCCGCGTGTTTGATCGTGTCAACAGAGGCAGAAATACCGGTGGCGAATCAATGCACCACCTTTCTATTGCAACCTTCAAGATAAAAAGAGCAAATATAACTGGGTTTTCACTGTCCAACCTTTCGTGTTAAAGGGCAAATTGATTAGTGTAGCAAAAGACGCTATTGACAAGTTTTTATACGCTATTGTCCTACGCTTTTGTCATCTTTGTCAAGATACGCTATTGTCATGTTTTTGACACGAAATTGACAAGGCTGACAAAAGCGTATAGAGATAACTGCATTACGCTGTAAGATTTTTATTTTGGTAAAATTGGATTCTAGAACAATTGACTCGCAGAAAATCTTCTTGATTGATCGTCTTCAAAAATCCTTGCGCACCGTTCTGTAACTGAAAGGTGTTTTGTATTTTGCACAGGAGTCTTGGCTGTTCGATTGTGGAAATGATGACTGGCGAGCCGCCCAACCACGAGCTGGAATCGATGCCTGCCATTTACCGAGTGGCCACAAACAAGAAGTGCCAAGCGAGACTGCCAATCAACTCCTCCGCCCCTCTAGTTGATATTGTGCACAAGTGTCTCACCTACGACCAGAACCAAAGACCAACTGCAGAAGATCTTATGAGTCATGAATTCGTGGTTTCCTCGCAGTGGTAAAATTGAACCAACAAGGAAGAAAAAGCAAAGAAGCGGCGATTAAAAACAGTGGCAGCTTGTCTACAATGAACTCTGAAACTGAATTTTTCCTATTTAATTAGATGTAGTTGCCATGATAAAGCCTTTTCCACTTTCTCTGTAGGTGAAAACAGTTTTTTATGTTGAATTTTTGTAGTACATGGATGTGAAAACTGAATAAAGAACGCAAAAAGCACAAAAATGACATTGCACTGTTCTCGTATCGTCTCATCTATACAATTGCATTATTTGAAACTGTTTTTTTTTGGAACAGAAGTAAGAGTTAATGTTGTAAAATTGTGATCTGGTGCGTAGCATAGAATTTGTTTCGCTGGATCGAAATAATTTGAATACCCCTGAATCGTGTTGAATATGGTGCTAATGAAACTACTGAATTTATTGAATTTAATTTAATTTAACTGCTCTTTCCACTATGTAAAATAGCCATCATCTATATTGCTAGTGTTAGTCCCTTTTTTATACTTCTCTCCTGAATTGGAATCTTTATCTAAATATCTTCTACTAAGTTGAAACAAGATGATAAAGCGACCTCGCTGGTCTGTGAAATCGGAAATACATTGAGTGCTTGTCATCGAATTGTCATCATGCGTTCCTCTCGCGTGATGCAAGCGAAATAACTGCAGATTTTGAAGCGTTTGCAGTAGCAAGCGTTTCATCCGATTCAAGATTTTTTTCCGGTTATGATCTTTGCTAACTTTCAGAGCATCACTGCGCAACTGATCAAAAATACTGCAAGACAAGACCAAAGCTTAATGAGTTTACGTGATCTTAGATTTTTTGGCTCAAAAATACTTGTTTTCTTTGTCTTCTGACATTCTGATCATTGAGTCTAATTTCAAAAACTGATCTATAAAGGCAGGGGCGGATCTAGGATTTTCTCGAGGGAGGGGGGCGGATTTTCAAAAAATTTTCCAAAACTTTGACGACTTTTTTTTTAGGTCGACCAAATTGATTTTTCGAGCTCTCCCAAAGCACTGTTTTGCCCCTATTTTGTCAAAATTTTCTGCGCCGCTGGCAAATTTTTGAAAAAACAGTCAAAAAAGCCGTTTTTGGGCACTTTTTGAAAAAATTTGACAAAAAAATCGCGTTTTTTTTGGCGCGCGCTCCCCCTCAAAGTTAGTATATATTGGCGCAATTAGTACATTTAAGCGACAGAAAATTCACACATTAAACTGCTTTCAAAATAAACCAAAAAAATATGATATGCAATAAAATGCAAAACAAATTTTAAAATATAAATACGTATGCTAAAAATACGTATGCTAACAAAAATGACGTATCGAATAAATAATGTTACAACTATGTCGCCAGAATGTTGTAATTTTTTGTGCATACTGACTAGTATAATTTGTTACAGCAAAACAAAAAGTCGCTCAAGAAAATCAACCGGTCTTACATTATATTTTTCAGAGTCAGATAAAAATTCAATTTTTTTGTTATAAACCTTTGTTACTTTAATTCGCCGTTACGATTGTAACTTGTTAATGAAAAACCCCATTGTCTTATATCACCTATATGCTAAGCTTGCCGCCTTGGAAAACTGAAAGCTTGAAATAGTTATTTGAAACTTTTCTTCGTTAATTTGATTTCAGAATTATCAAATTATGTATTTTATGAAAAATTGGTGACCATAAAAAATAGCGTGGGCTGAATAGAAAACACAGCTACATACACAAAACTACATTCACACTAATTATGTACAAATTAAGCATCACTGCGCAACTGATAAAAAATACTGCAAGACAAGACCAAAGCTTAATGAGTTTACGTGATCTTAGATTTTTTGGCTCAAAAATACTTGTTTTCTTTGTCTTCTGACATTCTGATCATTGAGTCTAATTTCAAAAACTGATCTATAAAGGCAGGGGCGGATCTAGGATTTTCTCGAGGGAGGGGGGCGGATTTTCAAAAAATTTTCCAAAATTTTGACGACTTTTTTTTAGGTCGACCAAATTGATTTTTCGAGCTCTCCCAAAGCACTGTTTTGCCCCTATTTTGGCAAAATTTTCAGCTCCGCAGGCAAATTTTTGAAAAACAGTCAAAAAAGCCGTTTTTGGGCACTTTTTGAAAAATTTTGACAAAAAAATCGCGGTTTTTTGGCGCGCGCTCCCCCTTAAAAATAGTTAATACTGGCGCCTAAGGCGCCCTTGGAAAAATTTTAGGGTCGGTCGGCCAAAAATGGATTTCTGAAAAAGTATCAAAGGGGGGACCCTTTGGGTCGGCAGGGGGTCGAATCCCTGAGGAGGGGGGTTCGCCCCCCCTAAAACCGCCCCTGTATAAAGGTCATTTTTTGCATCTTGTTCCCGCCACGAAATGGAAAAAAAAACTTTGAGATCGGATGTGTTTTGTTTCTAAAACGTTTTTTTACTCAAAATCAGTTACCACAAAGTAACGCAGATGGGTTGGATTGATGTTACATGCATGTAACAATCTTTTTCACAATAGATTCGGGCAATATTTACACAAGCCAAGCGTAGTGCTAGGACATGAGTCAATAATACTCGAGATGGGTGATCCACTCCATGACATCAGGATTTAATTAGTTTCAGCTTTTCCTTTTTTTTGCTTTTTTAGGGCTACTTTTTGCCGTTATCTCGCTTGTGTCTGCAAAGTGCAACTGCTCGGAAAATGATGTTTTGTAAATTCGAAAAAGTAAACTATTAAATGATCTGTGATCGGAACCTTCTGTTCTTCTTGCTATACAACCAGATTTTAATTTTGTAACAATTTCAAGTATACGCATGAAAAACTTTTTTCTGGTTTGATTTCTGATTTCATTTTCTATTTAGCTTATTTATGTTGATAGAAAGAGCAAAATTTAAACTATCAAACAGCAAAATCTAAAAGTCACGAAAATGCGATGGGTTTCTAACTTCGACTAGCGAGTATAGTTACTAGATTTCCCAGCGAAAGAAAAGTTTCTGAAAAAAAAGATTCGGTTTTATCGAAATAGGGAAGTTTTATCAAAAAATCAACAGAGTAAGTTGTTCGTCAAATTCAAGGAGCGGTAACACCAGAAGTTTTTTTTTGAAGTTCAAATTTTTTCGAACAAACAAGTTTTTCTGTTTCTTTGAGTTTATTACTCTTTTCCAAAGATCAGATGGACGTGTTTAATCCAATTGGTGTCTAATTGCGGTAAAGTTAATAAGTTAATAAAGGCTAGTTTTTTTTCTAAATTATAGTTAGAAGTATAAGTGAAATGCAATTTCGATCGAAATTTTCTTAAAGAGATTGATAAATTTTTTCTTTTTGTTGCGTTAACCTAAATCAAACGTTTTCATTGCATTTTTGTCTGTCTGCAGAGATCTGTTTTCCTGAAACAATAATTTTTAAACTGCCTAGATGTCTGAGCTGACAAAAATGTGCTAACATTATAGCCCTGAAATTTTTGTAAAACTGTTTCTTGATTTATGAAGCAGTTTTCATTTTATTGAGCCTTGAGAAAGGCTCATTGTTAGGTTTTCTAAAAATAACTATGAGACACATTTTATAAAAGAATATTTAAAAAGGTTTTTTTCTCAATCAATTTTGATGTGAAAAAAAAATGTTTCAATGTTCTATTTCTGCTGAGAAGTTTATAAAACTCTCGTTGTACTCGAGGTGTTATCTTTACTTTACACTGGCGAGAAGCTAAGTTATTGAAAAAAGGTACTAGATTGTCTTTTGATAAAATCCATCTACAAAAATCAGGGTCTGGAAACAAAACAAGAAATAAATTAAAAAGGTGAACTATTTTTTATAGATAATGAAATTCGGCAAATTTTTACGGCAAAGTTTAGTTTAATAAATGGTTCATAAGACGTAAAAATAAAGCTTACTGTATTTTTTTAGCAGCATTTTTTTGGGTTTTTCTTAGGAGTTTTATAGACTATTGACTTTGGAACAATTCTATTCTAGATGCGACGGAAAGTTGAGGTTTAAAAAGTTGGTCAGAATAAATAATTAAAGAAACACAGTAAAACCTTCATCCTTTATCAGTTTTTATCAGTCGAGTTTCGCTTACAAGTTTCAGAATGCTTGCCATAAACTCATGTTTTTTAGTTAAAACTTATTTACAAAGTTTAAAATAATCACCTTAAGTTCATGTTTCGTCTACCAATTTATTTTTTCACCAGCCTATTTTTTCACATTAAACGAAGTTTGTTTGAAGCAAATACAAGAGTTTTCCGAAAATTAAAATTTAAATATCAATTTCGACTATTTTGCTACTGGAAAATTTTGTCCAATTCCTGGCCAATGCTGCTTTTTTGTCCATTTCCTGATTTTTGAAAAAATCATTTGTTTTCTGTTTTAGTTTCAAATGAACCTAAGCATGTAATAAGCTAAACATTTCGATGTTTTTGCCAAAAACACTTGTTACAATTAACTTCTCTTCAATTTAGTTAGCGGTTTAAAATTAAACTGCTTTGTTAAAAAACTTGCGTATTCTTCTCTCTGAACTAAATGTGGCCACCAGGATGAACAAAAATCAATTTTTCGACCATATTTTTAATGACTAATTACGCTTGCGAATAGCAAGCCATACTTGTCAACGGGCCGGGCCGAGGTTTTCACTTTTGTCAACGGGCCCCAACGGGCCTTACTTTTATTGACTAACCAATGTTATGTTTCATTGCGCACTGTACAGCTTGCAGTGTGCTAAACGACATGACTACTACGTTCACTGCCGATTCTTTGCATTTGTGGAAGAAGACTCTGTGGAAGAACACTCTGTGAATTTGTTTTTTTTTTACCAAAAAAGCAGCAACGGGCCCCAACGGGCCGATATTTGATAAATTCCCTGTTTATCGGGCCGCCAACGGGCTCGACTTGAATTATATCGGGCTGGGCCGGGCCTCAATTATGGCGGCCCGTTAACAAGTCTGCAGCAAGCATTATCAAATGGGAATATAGACTTTCCAGGTTGACACTTGTTTCAAACAACCACTTGAATCACTCGGTATTTTAGTTTCTAATGAATTGAATTTTCTCCGGTACACGTAGTCTGGTACACGTCTCCGATACATGTAGTCTGGAAGCAAGGAATACGCCTGGGACGGCAAAAGTCATAGATTCGAATCTGACCAGGACCTGTTTTTTTTCAAACGGCAAATTACCGGCTTAATATTTGCCTCCTTATGTTTTGTCGGTTTAGTTGCCACATTTTAGATTTTTTTACTGTATGAAGTGTTCACTGTAGTTTTTTATGTTTCCATTTACACCTACATTTACTCCTGCATGTTTTCTTTCACCCCTGTAATTTTACTAACCTTGATTTTTATCTTTTCCTTTTTCTTACAATTTTTTTCCGCTGAAATTTTTTTGGGCTGAATGGTTTCGGCTCTTACTTGATCGGCTTACTGACTTAACTTTGGTCATTTGAGGAAACCATAATTTGTATACGTTCCTCCGGATTGCACAAAGCGTTAAAAATCTGAGAATAGAATTTAAAGTTCAAAGTTTTTATGACATTTTTTTTCATTCGAAAATTGTTTTTGAAAATTTTTTCACTA